TCTTCTTCTTCTTCTTCTTCTTCTTCTTCTTCTTCTTCTTCTTCTTCCCCCTCCTCCTCCTCCTCCTCCTCCTCCTCCTCCTCCTCCTCCTCTTTTCCCAAAGGCGCTTTTTCCCAAAAGCAACTGCACTTTTCTTGTTTTGTTTTTTCTTTGGAAACATTGCGCTTCTCATCCAAGAAGCTTCTTTGGTTCTGAAGAACTGAAGCAGAACCAAAGAAGGTTCTTGGATGAGAAGCGAAATTTATTCAATGAAAAAACAAAAACCAGAAAAGTCCAGTTGCCTTTTGAAAGAAAGCCCCTTTGGGACAACCCTGAGCTGGATGACTGAGAATCTCCATAGGCAGAATCTCCAAGGCTTCCGGTTGTCTATCTCGGCTCCCAAGCATTGGAGGGGAGACTTTTTAATCAAAGCAAAAGCTCCCCCTGCTGATAGTTTGAATGAATTGAATGCGGCTGAGCTCTAAAATTGAAACTGGATATATGATGCAAGAGATCATCCCTCTTTGCATCTATTATCAGGGATGGGATTTTACCAGTTCGCACCTATTCGCTAGAACCGGTTGTTACCATTCTAAGCAGTTCGGAGAACCGGTTGTTAGAAGAAATTACAGGGCTAATCCTGTAAGGAAGGCAGGAAGGAAACATTCTGATGGAGAGAGAGAGAGATGTGGATGGATGGATGGATGGATGGAGAGAGAGAGGGATGCATGGATGGATGGATGGATGGAGAGATTATGTGCCATCATTTTTGACTCCTAGTAACCACAGAAATTGAGTTTTTCAAGGACAATATGTCCCTAACCTGGTCTTGCAGGTCTTCCAAAGCTGGCTCCATGACCACCATTATTGAGTTCCTTCACCTTTCCTGTTGGCCATCCTTTTCATCTCTTTCCTTCCACCGTTCCCAGAGTTAGCTCCTTCTCCAGAAAACCGGCTTTTTGCATAAATGTTGGCCAAAATTGGATAATTTGAGCCTGATCCTTTATGCCTCGAGGGAAGAGTTGGGTTGACTGGGTTTGATGATCCATTTGGAGGCAGAAGGAAACATTTGGTGGTGGCGGTGGGGCAAATAAAGAGGGAGGGGCTTTGTGATGGATTTTCCATTCCCCCCTCCTTTGGGGCGGTTGGGTCTTCCTATCTCCAGCCACGTGTGGTTGCAGGGCGTAACCCTCAGGTTTCCTCTTCAACCAGATTCAAGACAGTCAGTGGCATCACGCTCTCTTTACCTTCCGGACGTACGACATCCAACGGTTGCCAATTGTGGGCATCTATAACCTTCCACCAAGCAAACCAGGGAAGGAATATTTCCTTGAGGTTGGGCCAGTGTGTTTCCTCTAGAAGTCAACTTTCTTGGTGCTCCACCCATTGGCTTCTTTCAGAAGAGAGGCTGCGTCTTTGGCCAAGAGACTTGGCCACCTGGAGCCAAGATTTGGGCCTTCAGCACTGGGACCATGTCAAATGGGAAAGCCTTTGCAGATCCATCAGCCGCTCCATCTCGGCATGGGGAGAAAAGGTTTGGAAGAACCCAGGGGACTGAAGCGACTTCAGAGAAGGCCAGTTGAAGTAGACATATTCTCCACGCATGGTTGGACTCTTTCCCTTCAGCCAAAGGAGGAAAGGAAAAAAAAAAGTTGCTTGCAGAAAACCCAAATCATTCGTGCAGATTTTGGGTCACCAAGCATAACATTCCGGAACCCAGGTCCTTTTTCCTTTTTTAAAGGTTTTGCTGGACAAGACGGAAAAATCAACGTTGCCATCTTCTTATGTTGAGATTATTTTTCAATCTGCTCACTGTTCTGGAACAGGAAGGATTTTGATGTGCAATATTAAACAGAGAGAGGAGAAAGAGAAAAAAAAATATATATAGATATATATTATTTAAGGCAAAAGAAAAAGAATCTAAATAAAAGCTGGTGAGATTCTTCTTTTTGGAAATGGAAAAAAAAAAACATCCCACAGTCCTTTCGATGTAGGGTGGTAAGGGGAGATAGGTCCCCCACCAAAGTGGAAAAAGGGGTGAACAAACTTTGGTGCTACATTGTAAAAAGAGAAAATGAAAGAGAGAAAACAAAAGAGAGAGAGAGAAAGAGAGAGAGAGAGAGAGAGGGACAAGCCTTTTCAATTTGATTCTACCTCTCACTGTGAAAATATTTGGTGCTCTTTTATTTTTTAAAGAAGTTGTAATTATATATATACATATATATATATATATATGAGTAAAAACTATTTAAAACTCCTCAGAGGTGCTACAGTGTCTCTTAATAGCTCTCCCCTCCATTTCGGTAAATTACATTTGCAGGAAAAAAACCCAACAAACAAAACACAGGGCACGTTTTTCTTTTGGTACAGGAGAGATAATCGAGTTAATTTAAAAGTGCATTAAACATTCTCCAGATTTTTTTTTTTCCTGTGAAATCAAACAACTTTGCAACAGGGCGTGGGGTGAGGGGGAGAGGCAGGGTGTAAAATTGAAGAGTAGTTGTTAGCTAATATATATACCTATATAAATATATACATATATATATATATATATATATA